ATTTGCAAGCTAACACACGAGCTTGAAGCATCCTAAAACTCTCAAAACACCATTGTTGCACAAAACTGCCTAACTTGACAGTTTTGAGCCAGAACTCATCATCTTCATTTCCACTCGTGCGTTTTGAAAACCAATATTCAAACACCTTTTATACATCATACCAAAGTAATCCAGGCCTCTGTTTCAAGACTGTAACTCCTCCATCACTATCCACCATTTTTAAAAATCAAGCTTGCAGGTTGACTTGAGTAGAGAGATTTAGGGACTTTCAAGGCAAAGTAGGAGTTGGAATGCACTCAAGGAAGTCCAGGCAAGCTAAACAGGTCCTCAGGCCATCTCAAAAGCTGCTCAACCTCCATTCACGACTCCAACTGCAAGAGGTAAGTTTTCAAACTTCCATATCTTTATACAGGCATCATTTGTTTCTGATTTGTGAAGATAAAATGTAGATATCATTATTCTAAAACTGACCATGTTCATAGTTCCAATTTATATTGACTGTGTATAGAGAATTTTGGATTTGAAATTTCTGAGAAAATTAGGTTTCAATTTAGGGCCAGCAAAATTAATCTTCATCTTTGACTTTTAGCTTACATAAGTTATATGGTTGGATTCGTGAGAAAAAATAGCACAACTTTCATGTTTTTATTTTCCATTTTTGTTGAGAAATGAATGAGATACAGGTGGTCCGACTGGCTGAAGGTTGAAGATGAAGTACAGGCCATCGAAACGTTTTACCTTATGTATTTATTCTTTTATTTAAGTTAACAAATGTATAGCCACCCCAGTGGTAAGGCAGCGCGCTGGTAATCAGGAGGTCATGGGTTCGAGCCTCAGCACGCGCTGCCTTTTGCTTTTTTTCTTCTCATTTTTACATTTTTTTGTTCTTTAAAGCGCCTGGGCCCAGTTTTGGGCTTTCCATCCTTTTTACTTTCACTAACTCCTTGTTCTATTTTCACACCTCCCTGATTTTCTCTTCATATTTTATTTTATTTTCTTTATTATCTTTATTATTATTATTAATATTATTATTATTATTATTAATAAATATTTTTATAGTTATTAATAAAAATCCAAAAAAAAAATTATCTTTTCATTTATTTAGTTTATTTTGTCTTATAAAATCAAAAGAAATAAAAAAAAAAGTCTTCTTTAATAAATTAATTCCTTTTTTATAAACTTAGATAATAAATCTTGACTATTATGTATTATTTCATTATTTTTTTGAAAATTAAAATAAATTTAGAACCTAGGCTTATTTTAGTTAATTAACCTTGTTGTATTTTAATTAAATTCACAAAAACCCTAAAAGATACTTTTCTAAATCAATTTTATTTCTTTTAAAAAATTAGGTTTAGTTCCCTAAATTTAATTTGGACCAATTGATCATCACCCTTTAGCTTGATTAAGGCCAAAACATTTTCTTAACAAAAATCCAAAATAAATCAATTTCTTTTTCTTTTATACTTGTATATTATATTCATTTCATTCCTTGTACATTGATATCAAATTCAATTTGGTTGTAATAGATTAATTAGATTTATATTCTTGCAATCCCCATTCACAATTTGTATACCTCCCCACAAATGTTGTAATAGCGTAGTAACTTTAAATTTCACAATTTATCAATTTTACATAATATGCTAGTAATTAGGGTTTGTATGGAAAGAACAAAATCAATCAAGTAGAAAACCCTAATTCAAGACAAAAACAAGCATGAAAATAATACACTTGCACACAAACACCCCTAGGGTAAAATCCACTTGGTTGCCTTATACAAAATGACCATATTACGCATGTAAAGTATCTTAGAAAAAACAAACCAATACAAGATCATAGTCGCTCGATGACGCTATCTAAGTTGCCTTGCAAATGATCTTAGTCCCTTAAAATGAATGCTAAGATACTTTACAATATTGCTAATTATGGTTATACGATGACCCACGCCCGTCTCGTTTACATCCAAAGATAGGGTTGCTTACCAAATCAATGGTAAGACAACAATGTCAAAGGAAAAGAAAATGAACCAGAAAGAAATTTGAGTAGGTAGATTGCTCCTAATTACTTGCTCCATTTCAAACAAAACATTCTTGCTATTTTCAAAAACAAACCCTTACACTTTCAAAAAATCTTACAAAACTTGAAAACATTTTCAAAAGATCAAACATCTTTGTATACATTCTTACGAATGAGAATCATTACAAAGATTGCCTAAACAATGGCCTCTTTACAAAATACTTTCAAAATACCACACAAAGCACAATTTCAAACAAAAGCAAGTGATCTAGCAAGTAACTAAGAGCCCATGGAAAACCATGGATAAAAAGGGTGCTAATACCTTCCCTTTTTATAATCTACCCCCAGAACCCAAGAAATAATATCAAAGGTCTTTCTTGTGCTTTTTCACCTTTTCTTTTGGATAAAAGAAAAGTTGGTGGCAACTCTTGCTAACCGCAATATTTGCGATCAAACGCAAAACCTTCAAGTCAGTTCTACCACCGTATCACATATATGGTTTTAACTTCTCATTTTTAAAAGATTCTACACCTCATTAGAGTTGATTTGGGGATCATGTTTGAAAAATTTCATCCTTTGGCATCTCACCTCATGGCTTTGATTATTACTTTTTGACTATGATCCCTAAGGTTAAATCCCTCTTTCATCTCAGAAACTTATGACTTATTTCCCTAGTAGATTCCTTGTATAAATTGATGGCTAAAGTGTTGATCATCATACTGGGGTATGTGATAGAGAAGTTTATTTCCCCTAACTAACCAAATTTCCTTAAGGGAAGAGTGTTGGTGGACGAACTCGTGGATTTTAATGAGGTGGTCGACTTGGCTAAGAGATATAAAAGAACTTGCCTTATTCTTAAGGTCTATTTTTAGAAATAATACAATTTAGTTAGTTAGAATTTCTTATATTATATGCTGATCAGACTCAGGTTTAGTGAGAAATGGAAGACTTAGATGAAAGCTTGTGTCTTTGCTGGGAATCTTAGGTTGTTGGTTTAATGGGTGTCTTACCCGAGAAATTAACATTCCAATGGGTTTCAAAAAAAATGTGGCATCTTTCTTCTTTCCTTTTTTTCTCTCGGTGGCATAGAGGCTTAGTGGTCTGGTTGTGAAGGCAGAGGAGTCTGGTCTTCATTCCGGGTTTAGATTTGGTAATTCTAGGTTGGTAGTTTCTCACTTTCAGTAAGATGATGATACTCTTATGATGGATGATCCTTCTATGGATAATTTGTTATGTATTAAGGTTATTCTTTGTGGTATATTAAAAATTTCTAGAGTAGTCTTATTGGGGTTAATGTGGACCCTTTCTTTCTTACTTCAGCCGAGGACTTTCTCCACAATGAGATTGAATGCCTCCCTTTTAAGTATCTTAGGTTGTCAGTGGGGGGTGATCCCCAATCTTGAGTCTACTTGGGTTCTTTGGTTGCCTTATTGGATACAAACCTCAACTTTGGGAAGCATAAATATGTGAGTCTAGGGGGATAAAGTTGTCCTCCTTAATTTGGTGCTTAATTCTATTCCTATATTCTTTATGTATTTTCTGAAAGTGCATGTTATGGTTTAGAAGAAGATTATAAATTTACAAAGAAGTTTCCTTTGAGGGTGAGGGTGAAGTATGTGTGTAACATTCCCTGGGTTAATTGGGATGATGTGTATAAACATAAAAATAGATGAGGGGTTAGGAGTAAGGGATGTTAGTCTGTTTAATCTTACCCTTATGAAAAATTTGATATGGAGATCGCCTGTAGGAGATTTAGGGCTATAGAAGGATATTCTGGTAGCTAGATATGGAGATATTCTTATCTCCTCACATAATGCAGGTAGGGCTAGGGGTTTTCGCTCGTTGTCGTCTTGGTGGAAATAGGTATATCATATTGGGACAAAAGAGGTATATTTTTTTAAGGCATTATTAGACAAGTGGGTTAGGTTTGCACACTTCCTTTTGGACGAACCCTTGGTTAGCAAGCATCCACTTAAAGATTACATTTCTTGGTTTTTTTTCTATTTCTCTCAATCCAAAAGGTATGATGGGTGAGATATGAGAGGTTATCAATGGTAACTTAACTTGAGACTTTAGATGGAGGAGAGTTATCTTTCTTAGAGAGTTACCACATGCTTTTGATGACTTTCATGCCTTGCTTAGAGATGCCACCCTTACCCTTTAAATAGATAAGTGGTTTTGGAAGAACTATATGGAAGATAATTTTTCAATGGCTTATACCTACCTCGTTCAGAGAGAGAGTTTGACTTCTTTTATGGCCACTACAACATTTAGGCTCTCCAGCAACAATTAAAAAACGTTGCCAGAACTCTGAAAATCGTTGCCTAAAACAATAGGGGACGTTTTCTAGGCGTCTCCTGTGCGAGCGTTGCCTATTGTTTGAGGCAACGTTTTTTTAATGTTTTTTGGGAACGCTTTTGAAAAACGTCGCCTATAGTAAAGGAATAGGGGACGATTATTTACGGCCCCTGAGACAACGTTTTTTAAGCGTTGCGTTGCCAAATTCGGCTACAATTAACAATCGTTGCCTTAAACCTGAATCAGGAAGATCGTTTTTGAAGTGTAGCCATAGCTTATAGGTTGTTGTTTTATAGTGTCCACATAAAATATACAATTTTGCAATTATTATCAAAATAATATAGTCAATAATAATTGGCTTCAAAAATAATATTGATTATATAACTTAAACCATACATCCATAAAAGTTGTAATATAATAAAATCGCACAAATAAAAACTTTCTGTACAATGAAGATTATTTTACACATCAACAATCTGAGAATATTCTATAATAATCTATATTTTCTGCACATTATTTTACACATCGCACAAACTTTCTGTACATTAATCAACAAGAATTATCTACACATCGCACAAATAAGATTAATGTGCTTCTTCTGATACGTTGCCAAATTATTTTACACACCGCACAAATAATCTATAATAAAACACATCAACAAGAATTAAACCTCGCACAAATAAAAACTAAACCAATGAGCAAAACACATTGTTTATATTCTTTGCAATAAGAGGATTTGAGAAGTTGAGGTAATGATCAAACCGATGAAAACTTTCTGTACAAGTTTCGACAGCACCATTTACATTTCCCTTCAAGTTAATTGACCAAAGACCAGTAAGATCCTTCTGCACAATTACATCGTCATCCAAAAACAGCACTTTCTTGAGGTTTGGAAATATTTCGGGCAAGTAGAAGCGGAGATGGTTCAACATAGATAAATACTTAGGATTCCGAAACTTGAGGTTCGAATCAGAAGAAGCACAGTGAGCCTTAAAGTAATAATCTATCATTGAAGGAGAACTTATCTGCTTAAGAAATGGACTGTAACTCGAGTTCAACCATGCAAAATCTTCAATGTTTTGAACTTGAACTGCCGCCTTTCCAGGTGGATTGGCCAAAAACCACATCCTCATTGCCGCATAATTGAGCCTATCAGTTACAATGTGGAAAACATGTTTGGAGGAATCCTGAAAATTTATTAAAACTACATTATTATTATGCTGATCAGAAAGAAAAATACCACCATTATATTGTAACAGATAAGGTTTTTGTTTTCATTTTTTATCCATCACTACCTCTAGGCACAAATAAAATGAAAACATATTAGTTTGTTAAAACATTGAGAGAATAGTAATTTAACTGCAGAGAGATACTATAATAGATTATTTTATTTGGTGTTCAGTTTCATAATCCTGGCGAATAAAAACAACTCAGGAAATCTCCACGTGAAAATGATTTTTATCATGTTCATATATATTTTCTATGTAGTGCAATTTTAATCCATTTATAAAAGAGAAGTGAAATTATTGCAAAATAGAAATTTGTTCTTCCATTTGTAAATGTTGCAACATTGAAAAATAAAAATATAATGTATAAGAAATTAAATTTCGCAAATTGCCATTAAATTTCTTCTGTCACAAGCTGCACAGAATGTTGGACATGCATCCATCACTTTGAATCAAGGTTCTAGTACACTTTCACACTTCTAAAGCCAATACAAAGGACAAATAAAACACCTAACCATTGAAAACAAAAGGAACCAAGCTAAAACACCTCATTCAAAAGCAGAAACACATGAGTATGGAAAATAACACACCAACTAATGCAAGCAAACAAAACATATATTGTCAAGGCCTCAATATCCACCCTTCCCCAACTGGACTCCCTACCAAGAATACAATGACAGATGCAACCGTAGAAACTCAAAGGCACCTAAACACCAAGCAGCGCAGGTCCTAACTCATTTCCCTTCGCGCAACATCGATACTACGCATTGGACAACCTAAGACGATAAACTTCAAAAGACAATCTGAAACACATAATATGTCCACAACAGCACAGACCAGTACATCCTAACACGGGTTAATGTGTTTTGCGAGAAAGAAAATTGGAAGCTGGTTACCTCAAGTGCAACTATATACCTTTAAGCATGCAAAGATTCTAGGAAGTCCAATGCTACAATTGAGTTGCAAGAAATGTGAAGATAGGAGATTACTAAATAATGAATAATAAATTAATTAAATACCATTAAATTAGAGATAGGAGATTACTAAATATGAAGAAAATACAAGTTACATAGAATCACAGTATGTGAAGAATTTGTAGTTGCCACATCATCTTGAGTAAAATGTTACATAATACACAGTAAGTGAAGAAGAATACTAACCATACGAGCACGTAAAGTTCTTATCATAACAATAGGCTCAACCATTTCCCAGTAAACCTCACTCCATGTAGTTTCTCAGTTGTTTAATTTCATTCTTAAGCGCCTGTAAATGAAACAGAACTCTGAAAATTATTGATGAAAAATGTACACAGCTTTATCTTAGATCAAATACATCACAAGCTCCCGGTTTTTCAAAACAAGTAGGTTCAACATGAAATTAGTTCAAATGAACTACATCATCTGGACACTATTATAAACAACTTTTACTTTTTTAGTACATTTGACTATCAATGTATTTGGTTCATATATAGACCAAATACATTGATAGTCAAATGTATCAAAAAAAAGTAAAAATTACTTATAATAGTGTCTGAAGAGTGTACCTACTGAGAATATATTGATGTAATGTAAAATAAACAACCAATTAAACCAACTAATTAAGCAAAGCAACACACACCAAATTCCTTATTCACATGATAAGAATTCATTCATTCAAACATCATATCATGGATATCCAACTATGATAAAAGGTTCAGAGTAAATGGCTGAAAACCAAGTGGGGGAACAATGGCTAAAAAAGCAAGCCATATATTGGGAAAACACTTGGTGAAACTCCTAGGTATGCTTTCGCGTAGTAGTTTCTTAAACCAAGAAAAGCAACAGGTATTGGCAGAAGCTGGGATTGAATTTCTTTCCCACTCGAATCCCGAACGACAACATTTTCATTGGCAACCTGTCACAAATTTTATAGACAAGCTATGTCAGGTAAGGAGCAGTATTTGAGGATGGAAGTGTTTTGTCCTTAAAAAATGCGCTATGATTTTCCATTCTAAGTTCGAAACAACCTTCATGCATGCTGAAACATGAGGTAATTCCACAACACACACAAAATGCACCACAATGTTTCACCTTGAAATTATCAATTGGCAACTTACCTTAGCATGGGCAGCAGTAGAATTCACAACAACAGCTGTGGCCAATATGTTATCTGAGAATATTGCATAATGGTATAGTCCAGGGTCTTCTAACTTCTCTTGATTGGGGAATTGTTGCTGAGAAGAGTTCAAGTTATAGTATTCAGTTGTAAGGCGCAACGGAAGACAATGGAGACCTTTAGGCAGTGTTTTAGTTGTCAACTGTGTTAAGAATAAGGTCTGTTTCTTGTGCACGCGAAGCTGGTCCTCTGATGAGTGGAGCATAGCCCTAAGCTTCTTCACGGATGTGGCACAATCATCTTGAATTTGCCTTGCTTTCATCAATGATTGCTCCATTGCCTTCATTCTCTCATTTGCACTGCATTAGTAGAATTACAAATATAAGTTCAAACTGAATAAAATGTAGATCATGAAGACCTGAACTATTCAACATATGTGTATGCTACTTCCCAATAAAGCTAAATATGAAATAACTAACGTAATAGCTATATAAAATAGGAAAACCTGGTGACAAGTACAAAAAATACATTCTTAAAAACTCACTTACTTCCTTGGCAAGTCAGAATCTTTGCTTGCCTCTCCAATTGTTCGTGAAACTTCCTTTACCCGTAGCCGAAGTTCCCGAGTGAGATGGGGAATGTTCCTAACTGCCTGAAGGGAAAGATAAACTTTAGCTTGGATGAGCTGATCCTTTAGTTTCCGTACTCGAACATCAGGCGGTGTTTCGTCACGATGCTTGATATTGTTTACTTTGCTAGAAGATTCAATATGTTGTTTCCCTTGCATAGTAAGCTGAAAGAAGATACACCAAATTTAAAGAAAAAAATTTCAGTAAGCACTATGGTTGGTTTTTCTTCATTGCATTAATGTAATTTTCAGACATATATGGAAAAAAATGAGTGTTGATTGCAACACTCATTTGTTTTTTTTTTCAAATTAACGGAGCTAGCCAGGTATGGAAGGAAATGATTGAAGTTAATACATGTACGGTCCTAAAACCGTGACCATAGATAGAGTTCCAATAAAAGAAAATATAAAATTTATTAATTGATAGCTAGATATAACTTCTATTCTTTTTTATTGTTTTAAACTCAAATTCTAACTTGAGACAATATAAAATACATATTTATCAAAGTCAAAACAAAGAAGGAGATGGAAGGAAAGATTGAAGCATGCATGTGTTGTATTTATTTACACTGCCAGATTTTAAACTCATAATAGGAAAACCAATCAAAGAAAGTATACATTTCTGATTGAGTGGGCTCTCTTTTTTCCTTTTCACGCTGCACAAATCAAAATAATTCCATAACAAATTAAGACTACCAACCAATGTCACAAAACTTATATAAGCTTCAATAAGCCAATCCAAAGAGGCCCTTAGTGTCATGTAAGGACTTATGTATAAGTTATTTCTATAACAAACTAAAAAATTAAATAAATTGTTTTCATATAATCTATAAGTTGGTTTCATAAGTAATCCTAAAGAAATAAAATGAAAAGGATTATCTCAAATAATTCAATTCAAGTCTCAACATAAGTCAAGGTTGAACATTTTTCTTACCAGTTACCCTTAAACTTAGAAACCGGGTGACCCGGTTTCCTCTGATCCCACCATTGAAGCCCAAATCCATATCCCCCTGTAGCAAACTCCACCGGCGAAGCCCATTTCACCGCCGTATACGAGACCAACCCATCACTATCAAACAACCTCCTATAATTCAAATTAGAATCTCCCACCGAAACCAAATTAACCTTCCCATCATCCCCAACGGTAACACACTCAACGCCACTATCGATCAAATCAATACAAGACTTCCCCACCGAATGAAGCTCATTCTCCGGTACAGAAACCTCAGATTCAAGCATCGCGTTGCTGGAATCGGCGAATAAGAAGTGAAGCGAGCCGAAGGAAGTTGAAGCGGCGTGACTGATTTCTGAAGGAACTGTGAGGCTTTGAGAGAGGAGATTGGGGAAGGAGAGGCCCATGAAGAATGTAAATCGAAGGAAATAGGGTTTGGTTTGAAAGAGTGGATTTCGATGGAAGAGACGTCGGAATCGGAGTCGGAGGAAGCGAGAACGGCGAAGCGGTTGAATGCGGAGAGAACCGGAAGCCAACGGACGGCGTGGATGTATTTGTATTGAGGGATTCTGTGGATTTGAGAGGTTTCTGAAATTGCTGTGACCGCCATGGCAAGGGTTTATGGCTGAAAATATAAACCTGCAATGAGCGCAAAGGAGAAGGAGAATAGTCACTAATTGGAACATATTTTTTGTGGCTAAAATACCCCTTAGTATTCCTTTTTTTTACCCCTGTGTTTTTTTTTTGTTAACAAATCTTCAATGAGAAGGAGAGTACTTTGTTAGATAGTGGCATACATTTTGAATCATAAATGAAGATTGTCTTCATAATTACTATTCTAGAAATTAAACATAAAATTATTTCAAACTTGTGATACGCCACAATCGTACGGTAATATTTAAGTAGTAAAAATTATCGTATGTAGAGATCAAAAATCAAATTATTTTAGGGGACAATCTAAAAATGTCCCCAAAAATATTTTAGGGGACAATTGTCAAACATTGCTAAAGAAATAATATTTTAACGCTCTAAAATCGTCCCCAAAAGCAGTTAAGGGTACAATTAACAACCGTTGGCAAAAAAATAAAAGAGTATCGCTCCATAAACGTCCCCAAAAGTATTTTAGGCAACGATTATCAAGGGTTACAAACATATTTTTGACAACAATCGTAAATCGTTGCCTATATGAATTTAAGGCAACAATTTCTACATGTTACCTAAAAAAGTGTTGCCAGAGACAATAAATATTGTAGTGGGCCCCGCTTCCAATTCATAGTTAAATCATTTCCCTCATTTGTAGTAGTTAGGTTTCGTCTAAGATCTAAGTTTTTTTCCTGGAAGTTATTGCAAAATAAATTCCCTTCAAGAGACAACTTGTTTAGAATGGGGGTGTTATCAGATCCCTAATATGTTTTCCTATCAATTCTACAAGTTTTTAATAAAAATAACTTCTCATCTTTTTTGTTAATTGTGAGATAGCCTCATCGGTGTGGTATAGAGTTTTTAGATGGCTGGGGTGGCTGGTAGTTATTCATCATGATCTCATGATTCTTTAGGAGGTGGGGTTAAGTTTATGGAAGGTTATTTTATGGCTTGGCATGTTTTAATCTGGTCTATTTGAAAAATCATAATGACGTTATCTTTAATGAATTCACAAAATCATCGATATAAATGGAAGTGAAAAGTATTTTTTGGCTTGGAAATGGTTTTTGGGTAGATTTGCGGTGAACTCTTGCACCTTAATGAATTGACTTCAAAATCCTATCCTATACGCGCACCTTTATCAGATCAAATATTTGCCTTCATTTAGAGTGTGGTGGTGGATCTTTTGTTTCTCTTTTGTTAGAATCTAGTTGATTGATGGTGAATCTGGTTGGTTTGAATTCTAACATGTGAGTAGCAAAGTGGTCCTTTAGTAGGTGTAGTTTATTTCAGGGTGTTACCTCTTTTTTGAGGCTTTCTAGTTGTTTTCTATTTTCATTGTCGATATTTTTGAACACTTCTTGTGTTTTGGGTTTTATATAAAATACTCTGTTTTCATATTTAATATATTCTATTTGCCATTTAGAAAAACTTATTTTTTTAAAAGCTCCAAGTATCTTTATTTAATTTTAAACTCAAACATCAACTAAAAAGTATTCTCTCCGATTCCTAATATAAAAAAATATTATCTTTTTAGATTCATTGAATAAAATTATTATTAAATACATCATTTTTATTTACATATTAAAATAATAATGCACAAGAATAATTATATTTTAAAAATAATATAATAAAATATTGATAATTTCTTAATATTTAAAGAAAAATATATTGATAATTTGTTGGTGGTTTGAATCCATTTGGTGAATTATGATAAATTTTAACTACTCTGAGGCTAGTGGAAAAGAACAAAGGATATTCGTTCCTCGCTATAAAGAACGATTATGACATTGTTAGAGTATTAAGTTCAGATGGAGGGGCAGTGTCAATATCTCCATGCTTCTTGCATCTTTTACACTCCATCACATATTCCATGGCGTCTAGAAACATTGAAACCTATAGTTTAAAGTTATGTTTGCGCAAGGCATACCTCTTAGCATACCATGACATGCAATAAAGTACCTTTGAAGAAACATTTCTTGGTTTAGTTTATTGTTTAAAATGCTGTATTTTTTTCTTGCAAACTATTTTGTTCACTTTGTTAAATTATGTTTTTCTTCTATTTTATATGTCTTTATAATTTCATTTGTTGAGAGACTCAACTTGTATTACTCTCGTTTTTTTACTTTTCAATAAAGAAGTACTACATGATTTGAGTACTACACAACTAGTTTAATGAATATTTCCATGTTTCCAATGCGATGTTGTTAAGTACTCTAAAATGTTATTACTTCTGAATCATTCATTGGGATAGTTTTCATGATTATTTTCACAACCCTCTTGTTACTCCCTACAATTCTAATTATTTTGAGTTTGAATAAATTCATTTGTTTGCAAAAGACTCTTTAGTTTTTATTCGTAAAAGAGGGTGATACCTTGCAACAAGTATGAAATCAGTACATTTGAAAGTACCAATTTACCACCTTATTGATTGATACATGTTCTAAGTTACAAGAAGTAAGTTTGGTTTTGGATGCATAACCCAACACATGTGATTTTAAAGGCTTTTCACTTTTTTTACTTCTATAAACGCTTATTGTTAGGGAGCCCGAATCTCAAGAGAAGGAGACACCAGATCTTCATTCAAAATCTTAAAGTGATATGTGAATAAGTTCTTTCTCTTATAAATCTAACATTTCATCTATTTATAGGCAATGTGAAATTTAATCACTCACACTTGTACCCAACATTCTCCACCGCAAGTATGAGTCGCCTACATCCTATAACAGGATCCAACACAGGATCCAATATAGAATTCATCTTTCGCTCCCCCACAAAGCCGAATCAGGCTCTGATACTAATGTTGAGAAGTCCGGATGGATCGGGAGCACCAATGAAATTAATGTTCTAGGTGAATATGTAGTGTCTCTCTAATTTTTTTGGGTGAGTCTTTGATCTTTAAGTGAGTGTTTGACTTAATATAAATATTCCTCTTACGATGATCCAAAAGTTATTGTCTTTTTTTCATGTCTTAATCAAGTCATTCACATGAGTTATTTCTCTCAATTATCATTGAACCTCTCTAGAGGTTATATTTTGATCTTAAAGAAATTGATTTGCATTTTTCCCTGTAACGTAGGTTGACATTGAAATTCGAGGTCAAACTCTTTTGAAGAGCGGGATCATAATAAAGACCAATAATGAGACTTCATATTAAATTTGACAACAATTTTTTTTTAATATTTCTTTGTATGTTTATATAATGGTTTAGTTAGATTATTTTCTTTAGTAATTGTATAATGCTATTTTTTTTAGTGTGTGATTGTGGGATTTATTTCCTTATTGGTGTAAGTATAAATAATAATGTTACAATAACTTTTAATGTAGTCGATTCACCAGTTTAAGTATTAAATCTTGAATTGAATGGAGAGTTAGTGTATGTTTAGATACAATTATTTCTACTGTGATTATACTTTCTAATGTAGTCCATCATGATTTTTAAGAAGTTGAAAATCCTAATTTTTAGTAGAAGCGCTTTTTCTTTTCGTTGTACCATGATTCTAAACAGATGCTTAGTTTTGCTCCTCCTTAGATGAACCAACTATAGATTCTAATCAAGTGTGGTTTGTGTGTCTCTATGTGCTTAAAAGACTTAACACTGAATAAAAAAATTGAGGTAAATCAAAAAGTGAGACGATTTAGTGATATGTGAAAAGATAGTATAAAGTTAAAGATTTCACTAAGAAACAAAGACAATTGATCCAGACTCTCTAGTAATCATTGCTATGTATATTTATTTATGCACACACACGCATACATACATACACGCCTTTTCAAAACTTCTACTAAACCTCTTAAATTGGACAAGCCTTTTCAAAACAAAAGCATAATCAAGTATGAAGCTTAGTTAATCTATTATGGAGAGAAAACTCGCCCTCTAATCTATTATGACACTTGTCTAATCAAATATGGAGAGAACTTGTCCAATAATCAATTAAGGAAGCGTTCTAATTCATTAGGGTTTAGATCCAACAAAATATTTTCTATTTTGCTATTTCATTATCGATTAGAGCCACAATATAATTTATTATGATGCAGATGTGACACAAAATATTTTCTTTTCTTGACTAAATTTTTTACTATATAAAAAAAATTTGTGCTAAGTTGAAAAACACACAAGAAAAAACTAAAAGTTACTTTTTATCTTGCTCTCACTCTCTTAAAATTTTCATATTCATATAGAATTATTTTAGTACTAAGAGATCGAAATATTTACTAAGAGTTGTTATTGTATAGTTGTGATTAATCTGTTTGTGTTGTAGTTGTAAATTCAAAGAGTTTTGTTCTCTTGTAATTATGACATTATTATAAAGTCTGCAAGCTAAACATGTGATAAAATCATGATGTAAGAAGATAGTAAGCCAATCTTGTGATATAAATTTTGTCGTTAGTGAAATTCTCAATGAAAAATTCTTGGAGACTACAGTAAATCATATGATTTAAAGTTGACGAACCAATATAATTTCTGGTGTCTTTTTTCTTTTCCCTTATCTCTTTATATTTAAGTCATTTATTCTTCCGCACTTAATCACTGCTTCTTCTCTTTTCTTAAAATTAAGAGAGTAAAATCAATATTTTTCTTTAAGATTTTAAAATCTTTTCATCAAAATTCATCCCCTAGAGAAGAAGAATAGAATATTCTAAAATCAAATTTTTTAGCTTAAAAAAAACAAAAATCAATAAAAGAGGAGATTTAAGGATTTGAACAAAAAATATAAAAAATAGTCAAAGATGAGAATTAGGGATTGAGAGATCATGAGCCTAATGGTAAGGAATTGCAGAAATTATATTTTGTGAGCTCAAATCTGTAAATCCAAATCGAATAAGTGTAAAAGATAAAAAACGTGTTAACTGTTGAAGTGAGACTAATAAATAATTTAGATTGAAGATGGAGTGGTGGCATTGTAGAAAGCGACTAGAATATTGATGAAGGTAGAAGTGTAGAAGCACAACAAGAAGAGGAATATGACGGCTAGGGTTGAGAAAGAAACTAAATTTGTTCTTTTGGGCTGAAATGTGTTAATTTTTTTTTAATTTATTGAAATATTATTTATGCTATTAACTTATTTATTTTATATTAATCATTGAAAATAAAATATAACTAATAAAGTCATAATAATTAATTAATAAAAAAATTTAAATATTAAAAGGGTAATTAAAATTTTAAATTAGAGTAAGAAATTGTAAAGATTTAAATCTTTTCATATTCAAAATAATTTAATTTTTATTTTATCTCATTGTTTTAATATATTCAAATTTATATTAAATATTTTTTTCATAAAAGTTTTTTTATAAGAAAGATTTTATTAAAAAATTAAAAGAGTATTAAAGATACTCAAATCCGCTTTCAAAACCGCGAAATATAAAAACTTTATATATATATATATATATATATATATATATATATATATATATATATATATATATATATATATATATATATATATATATATATATATATATATATATATATATATATATATATATATATATATATATATATATATATATATATATATATATATATAACACAAATATTATAAAAAGATCTCATTTTATTGTACAAAATCCATAATTCCTCTGTCTTTTTCTTTTTCCAATATTTTTATATTATAAACATATAGACATTAATAATTAAATATATCAATTTTACAATTAATTTATTTTTTAACTAGTTTAATGATAATTATCAAAAGTTATTTTAATAAAATATAATATGTAATCTATAAAAACCATTTTGTATTTTGGGACATTTACAAAGTTGCTTTAACATATTAATAAATAAATAGATGAACAATATGAATAATAATGTATGATGGCTCAGTGGAGCTACTAAACAGCCGGCAATATAGGTAAATGAGTTGGATTCCCATGCAGATTTTTTAGCGCATGAATACTTTAAGAAATAAAATATTTGTTGCTGATTTTTCAGCACAAATCTTGGAGATCTTGCAGATTTTTTAGTGCATCAATATATTAAAAAAATAAAATATTTAAATTTGTTCGGGGATAGAGGTTCGAACCCTATATTCTCCAATTTTAAATGAAATTTAAAAAGAAAAAATTTCAAAATCGTCGTTTTTCTGTTAATAGGATACGGTTTTGTTATGCACACAGTTTTAAAATTGTAACCAAAAGATAATAAATTACTGTTTTTGTGAATCTATCCAATTTTAAATGAAATTTTAAAATAATTAGGATTTAAGGGCTTTTGGGTCAATAGGAGACGGTTTTGTTATGCCCACAGTTTAAAAACTGTGGCCGAAAGATAATAAACTATGGTTTTTGTAAAACTTACCGACGGACGAGAAATCGTCATTTATTAATCTTTAGACAATATTTTTAAAGTCGTTATTTATTGTTATGTTGCCTAAAGTAAAAAAATATTGTAGTGTCTCTTGTGTTTGAATTCACTAGCATAACATTTATTCACGATTCAAAATTATCATTTATCATGAATGTAGAGATTATTCTTCTCACTAATCGTCTCATTCCACCTTTTATGTTTTCTTTTCATTTCTAGTTCTTTAACGTTCTTAGATTTTATTCTCAATTTTCCTTATTTTCCTATCTTATTCAAGACATTTACACCAAGGGCAAAAACCATTGTATAATGAATCCTCCTTATACAGTGAATCCTCTTAATCCATATCACAATATTTCAAGAAATAGAAGAGCACATACAAATGTGGGGCACCACACATCCCTTAAATGGTGGACAACCCCACACTACCCACGTAAGTAACCGTATGAAATAACATTTTTATAGGACACTATTATGGTTTCATTTATAAATAACATACTAAATAATTTCAAAAGGCATCCAATTGATGAATCAAACCTGTTTTATGCATTTTATTTTATTTATTTTACTTTATTTTTATGCATTCCTTAGCCTAGTAGTTCAACTTCTCCCCCGTGAACTTACCGCTCTTTAGAGTAATTTAGAAACCCGCAAATGAAGAATATGGTCATTCTCTCAATGCAAAATTTTAAGAAAAAAAAGAGTCATTATTAAGGTTATCATTTAAATCTCAGCTTGATTTTCATAATTTGACAATAAAACTATTTAATTCCTATTATTCTATAGCCAAGTTCATTAAGATCATTATTATACGCAGTGGCAGAGCCAGCGCCTAGCTAGGTAGGGCAGTTGCCCAAGCTTCGCCCACAACCTACTTCCACAATCGATACATTATTTCAACAACCACACACTTCTTTTCTTCCTCCTATGTGTTTCTCAACCACAACAACTTTCAACGAAAAACATCCACCACACTGTAACTAAACACTGACCGAACCACCACTACACCTCTGTTCTTCTTCGTTCTACAAATCTCGATAACCAGCTTCATTCCCACGATGATGTTGTGTTGTTATTTGGTGTTGTTGCAGGTTGTGGTTGACGAATTGATGGAGAATTGGTGCCAAATGTGTTGTTTCGCGCCATGCCCACCAAGTGTTCGGTAAAAGTTCTGAACCGACATTCTTCTTCCTTTATCTTATTTTTGCTTTGCTGGATTTTTGATAATTGAACCTTGATTTACGATGGTGCTTTTAGTATTGAATTCTTGTTATTGCTTTGTGGGTATATAGAACAAGGTTTTGCAAAGTTGTGCAAGAAATCTGGTAGCAATGATGCTCCTGTTATATTTCTAAAGCATTATGCAAGTATGTTATCTATTTAATTCCTCTATAGTTACATAGTTATTAAAATGATTGATTGATTTAGTTAGTCTTTGGTTACTCTAACAACAAGTTAGCAAATGATAGTTGGTGTTAACAATTGTTAATAATTATGACTTGTATTAACTACTTCATCATTGTCTCAAACTAGGGGTTTTATTTGATTGATTATTATTAGATTAAGCATGCTAAATTTTCTCTAGACTCTTAACACTTCTATCACTTCTCCACACATGTTATTAATATCTCTTAGTTGTGCATCATTTGTACAATAATCAATTGTTTTTGTGTTGTATAATTGTTCAGTGTTCAATATTTATGCTTTAGATCGAATTTAAAAGAAATTGGTCTTTTATGTGCTATAAAATTCTGTATTTATACTTGGAACAAAATACTGTAGTCCTCATCTCAGCCTGATTCACTTTGTTGGGAAGTATCCAGTGGAGTTTTTGATGTATATCTCCACTAGTCATTATAAAAGTAAATGAGTAATACCCTTGAATGTTTGTGGATACTAATAGATGAGCCTTGCTGTGAAAGTGATTCAAAACTCAATTGAGTACATGTAAATTTGTTTTCATTTAAGTTGAAAATAACATAGATATTTTTATTAGCTTTTTATCTATACTTCAATTTTTGTTCTGATTGTTTTATTTCTCCTCAAGATGATGCAAGGAGGTTTGGAAGGATTAACTGCTCCTTCTGTTAGTTTGAGGAAACAACCAAGATGAAACCTTATAACATTCTTTTTATTATCAACAACTTCTAATTTTATTTTTATATTAAAAAATAGATATTGAGAAGCACACATATTACAGAAGATATTAGGAGGGAAGCAAAATTTTCAAGACTAGGATAATTAGTGGTAGAAAATTATGAAGCCAGTGGCGGAGCCAGTGAAAACTTTCCCAGACTTCATAAATTTTCTGCCTTTGCCGCTGATTATAGGCTTTTCCCACTAATCTCTCCCTTGACTGAGGATACATGCCACTGATGGTCATTGAGGAGTACTCAACGTCAAGGAGTTAAACATAACATTTTTCAGCCTTTTTCTTGAACCTTCCTATGAACTCAACAATTGATTCATATACTTACTTTTTTCAAATTCATTAAGTTGGTTTTTTTAACTTTAGGTCGAGGCCAGTAAACCATGTTATGGAAAAATATTTCCATATTTTCCCTATTGAGTATCTAGTTCAGTGGGAGAGAAGAATTCCACGTAAATAATGTTCCATTCTTAGATAAATGGAACATATGTATTTTGTGGATTTTGTTATGGTTTCCCTTATCACATTGCGCGACAAACCTTCATATATGCTCCATTTTTGTTTTTCGATTTTCCACGAAAAAAAATAGAAAAGTAAGAAGCCTTATTCCTATTAGAAAAGACATTAAGTTGTCCATACACCTAATATATGGCTTCATATGCATATTTTTATCATTGAGTTTCATTTGTATCCCAATGTACCCCTTGATTGTATCGATTATGAGGTTAAGATCCAAACAAATGTGTGCAAGACCTATCTCCTCGACTAGAACTGGTTGAAGCCACATATTATCACGGGGTTCTAAAAATGTATTAAAAAAATCTTGAGGTGGAGTATAACCATATGGTTTCTTTTGGCTGGTAAGTTGAGTAATCAGCATATGGCCTTTCTGTTCATGTTATTGGGCTAAAGGCTTATTTTCAATCGTATGAGATGTTGTTCCTCCTACGAAAATATATGCTAAAGGAGACACTAACGCCAGAACAATTTTTTTGTGCTACTTTTGGTGGCATTATTGCCAAATGTTCCTATCTAAATTGAAGATTATCAAGGTTAAACATATCATTTGGCATCGCATTTCCCCAAGTTTTATTCCGACAAAACCAATAGGTTGGGAATTATAAGGAATACAAGGTACTCGTTTAATAGAATAAGGTTGGGTTTACTAATGTTCTAAGGATGCAACACTCAATTGGGTTTGAGTTACAATGCTTGCTTGAGATTGGTTTTCCTCAATCCATTGGATTGTAGAGGTGATTAAGTTTCACCAGAATTGGCTTGTTTGACTTCTAACTCCCTGGTTTATTGAACCTCCTTCTAAACCATGACTTTTACAATGTCAACGGGTTGTTTTGATACATGATATATGATGCTATATATCCACATGTTGATTTATTGTCTAATGAAAGGCTTAGTCATAATTACTAGGAATTTAGGTGAATCAAGTGATGTGTCTTCAAAATCAATTGGATGAGCTACAAATGTAGGCATTTATAATGTTGGTGGATGATCGTTAGGTCTATGTTGGTATGACTTCTTGGATGTTTATGGTTATAGTTGATCCATAGTGATGAGATTTTTTTTGAACACAATTGCATAAGTCAAACATTGTCGTGTTGTTAACTTAAAATTTAGTGGTTATGGTCGTAATGTTTTACCAGGCTTCGAACTTGAAAGTTAGTCGAGATACTGATTAATAACTCTTAAATATGATTCTATTTTTTGTAACAAATAATTATGCTGAGGAAGAAACTTTGCCACTCAAATTATGTTTTCCTTCACTTCTCCAAAATGTGTCATCCGCAAGTTTTGAGTATTTTCAACTACTAAACTAAAACAATATAGAGTAAAGTAAAATAATAAAGAGATATTAATGCGTAAAAAACCAATTTGATTGATTGTGTGTGGTAACAATATTTCTAAATACAATATTTATTAACAAATACTAGTCTTAATGACCAAAACAATTGGACCTTCAAAATAATGCGTAATTTTTTATAATCACACACTTAGTTTTTTTCTTTTTCTCTCTTGCATAATTTATTGTTTCTCCTCAAAACGTCATTCCATGTCAATAACTGTTATTTCCTCTAAGTGTATGTTTGAATTAGTGATTCAATAACTGTTATTTCCTCTAAGTGTATGTTTGAATTAGTGATTCACATGATTAATTTTAACATGATTGAATTTAGAAGAAGTGGTTTTAACAGATTGAGTACTTGTATGTTTCATTTAAGATAAATTCCTTTTACTCCTTTTAGAATTATGGATGTAAGACATGTGGAAAATAACACATTAATGGTTGAGATTTAAAATTGATATTTTTTTAATTATTTAATAAAAGAAGAGAGAAAACCACTTTCTCTTCCCTCACGTTCCAATTTTCAACCTCTGCAACATTTTTCTTCCTCTCATTCTTGTTCCTTCTTTTTTATATCATCTTCTCTGCTAGAATTTATAAATTATCGTAATTCTATTATATAAAAATTTATATATATTATTATAACTTTGCAGTCAAAATTCATACGTAATGCCGGTGTCAGAACTCGTCGGCAATAAGCGTTGCCTACAATCAACATTGTCAGTCATAGTAATATCTCAGGTAACAATTTAATTCAATTCAATTCCGAAAAATTTGTTGCCACCGATAATTTAATTAAATAATCGTTTCTCCGATTCACGACTTAACATTACAGTATTGTTACTATGGAAATTCACCAAAAAAAACAACATCGTCGCCGAAATCACAATATTTCAGTAACAACACGTGAAGTAACAACAAATATATTTCTAACAAATACATCAAAATACTTAAATAATATGTCTAAATGAAGTTGTGAAATTATAATGTGTCAATTTGACTTGATTGTGTCGTACGGATAGTAACTTGATGTTGAGTTTCATTCTCAATCTGGCTGGATTGTGTCGCTTGAAAGTTAGCTTGATGTTGAATTACATTGTCAATTTGAATTGATTGGATTTGAGTGTGTTGATGTATAGTAATAAAATAAATAAGTAAATGATGAAATTAAATAGAATTTTAATAAATTGATAACATATACTTACCGGTAACAGTTGTACTAAATTTTCTTGAGAACTCATTTTCTTTTTTTTTGTGAGTATCTCTCTGTCTTTCTAGCTAATTTCTCAACCCATGACTTATCTTGTTTTTTGTTATTACGAGAACAATTTCACTTTTTTATGCCTTTTGCCATACCAATGGTGTCCATGTTGTCAATTTCATCATTTGCAATTGATATGGGTACGTGACCCATTCCACTTGATTTTTCATCTGCATATTTTTTTTGCTAACATATCATCAACTATTTTGCTCGACTATTCATAGACTTTGGAAAAAAATGTGTAAGTTTCATGAGATTTCGAAGCTCTTGTTGGTCAATTTGATCATCCGAGGACATCACTCATTGTATTGTTTCATGAAGTGTGCTTTTATGTCTAATTCAACATGCCTTCCATCCCAATTTTGATTACTTCCCAACCTTGCATCTCTTGTCCATCTCTTGAGTATATAGTGTTTCGGAATTAATTTTTTGTTCATCACATCTATAACTTTCAAAACGTGACTACATAAAATGCCATATTGATGAGTGCTAAATTGTTGTGAATTTGAGTGTGAATAATTAGCACTCATCGCCTTATTTTATTTTCTTTTCGTTAATAAACCTCAATTTTTGCATACATTTTGTATAGTTTACGTTATAGTGTATATATTGCATTATCGTGTAAATATAATTGATTTTATCTCATTTTTGTAGGTACTCAAACATTGATATTTAGAAATTATTAGATAGATTATTGAATAAGCTTTCCAACGCTTCTGATCGTGCGCAAATCAGAGTTACAGTTCTCAAGTTATGGGTGAAACTGTGCTGGTTATTCAACTTACTGTCAGTTGTCGCCCCGAGCTCGCCAGGCGACATTGGGATGACCAGAAGCGTGGAAAAATGTAGGTTTGAGTGCCAGGCGATGCTTTTTGGTAGCCGGGTGATGCATGCCTGACAGAAATGCATATTTAGGTAAAAACACATTTTTTTAGGTTATGGTTGGGTATTTTGGTTTCAATTCATCAAAGCTCCATTTTTGGCCTAAAGAAGCTAGAAAACAACATTGAAGCTTGCATCTTGATGATTTGGAGTCGGATTTCTCATCAATCGGCGTTGACAACCCGTGAGATGTTTGGTTTTTCTCCATTTCTTCTCTATGTATTTCTCTATTTGTTGGATTATGTTTGTATATTTACTTTGAACATATGTATATTTGTTGATCATGGTGTTGTATAATGCTTGCTTTACAAATCAATCTTGATGTCTTCTTTGATCTTTTTGTTTTATGTTTGGATTTGGGTTGTTATAGACATATACCTCACAAATCTTGATTAGGGATGGATATCTATTAGTTTCTAGATTCTAGAGATAGATTTAGAGTTAATATTCACGTTGGATGCCAAAGCTTAATGCTTCTGTGTTGTTGTAGCGCGTAAGACATTGTCGATAGAGGAATACGGTTGGTCTCGCGATTTGGCGTTAGACATAACCTTCATTGTGGGTACATTTCGTGGTGTCTTTGATGATTTTGACGAGTAGAGTATGTTGAGTGCAACTGATCAATAAGTTTAAGTTTGTGACGAGTAATGTAAATTCATTTATGATAGGTGTCTTCTTTCCATTGAATGTATTTATTTTCTGTTGATAACTTTTGCCCTTACCTTACACTTTAAACTCATTCAACCCCAAACTCATAAACGCGAGTGTTGTACCCCAAAATTTTCCCTCTCTTCTTCTCAAGATATTTCTCACAAAGATCTTCAACGATTCAAACTTGCACAAGTATTGACTAGGTCAAGCCATCTCTCCTCAACACTGATGCCTCAAATTAGGGTTTGAGTTTGCACAAAGACAGTTGGACTTCTAATATTTCAAATGACTTTCATGGACCATTATGGACCCTCGAGAATGCTCTTGTCAAGTTTCAAGTCTTGGATCATAAAATCGCTCAGTCAATTGATCAGATGGCCTAAAATCAGTTGTATTGGAAAAAAAAGTCAACTGTAGCCAACCTACAGTCAAACTTCAAGATTTTGGACCAATATCAACATTTTAAAGTCATATATATCATTCGATCGAGATTGTATCACAATTTTCTGAGAAAATCGTTCAAATCGCCAAAAGGGTAAAATAGTCAAAATTAGGGTTTTGATTGAGAATGACCAATCTTTGGCTTATGACCTAGTACCTGACTTATTGGTTGGTAACATGACCTCAAGGATTCAAGCACATCATTTTGACCTAATTGCATATTTCAATTCATCTCCTGAGATCAGTGGATTGATAGATGAAATATGGTCAACTGATGAAAAAAGTCAATTGTACACTGAAAAGTCAAACTTTGACTTTTTGATCAAAATTAAGTTTCAAAGATCGCATTTCATAAAGACATTCAAAATATGAAATCTGATCATCAAAAATCAAGAAAGTCAAAAGTCATACTTTGCAAGACTTAGAAATTTTTCTAAGTAATAATTTCATTATTTCATGACATCTTGCTTCACTACAATTCAAAATAATTCAAGATGTTATAAATAATTCAAGTTATTATAAGGCTGCATTTTTTTAAGTTAGAAATTGTTAAGTTACAAATACTAAAGCTTTGTCTTGTTTGAATTTTTCCTTTGACTCAATCTCCAAAAATCTTGCCACTATGTTGTCCACAAATATGCCTTGTCTTTGTTACAAACTGCATAAATATGCCCACAAAACCAAACTTGTATCATGCTACAAATGTTGTTGTCCAGAAAAGCCCTAAAATATGATTTGCTGTCAAGTCCAAGCCTACTACTACTAGTCCAAAACCATGTTAAAAAACAATATGTTGTCTGTGATATGGTGGCAGAATCGACTGTTAATACTGGTTTGCGTTTTTTGTTCGCAAAATGTCGCGGTAAGCAAGAGCCGCCACCGACTATTATTTTATCCAATCAGGAAAGGGAAAAAGAACAAAAAAAACCTTTTTCGAGATGTTTCTGAGTACGGGGGTAGATTATAGAAAGGGAAGGTGTTAGCACCCTTTCTAAACATGATTTTCCATGGGCTCTTAGGTACTTGCTCATTTTGAAAACTGCTTGTGTGTGCTTGTTTTGAAAAATTTTGTTTTACTTCGTGGTAACCCTTGTATCTGTCCTCAAGAGTGTGACGAAGTTGTTTTTGAAAACTTTAGTTTGAAAAGTTTGTTTGAAAGTGTATGGTGTAAAAATTTGTTTGAGCAAGTACTTAAGAGTTTTCTACCTACTCGAAAAAGGCTGTTCGCTTTCTCGTTTCCTTTAGACAACGCTATCCTACTATAAGGAGTAGGTAGCCCCATCGTTAGAGTTTGAAGGACTATCGAAAGGGACGAAATGGTCATTGAAGGCAACATGTAAGGATACCTTAGCAGTTCGAATAGACTGTCATCATATATTCGTAGACAACATCAAGGGACAAAATCATTTCTCGTAGGCAACTCGAGGGACATTGAGGGACCATGATCTTTATGATGACTTTAATCGAGGGTATTTGCTAAGGGTATCCCTACGTTCGAGAGACATGACCATTGTTTCCGAAGGCAACCAAGTGAGGTAATACCCTAGGGGTGCAAGTGTGCAAAAGTGATTCAGTTCGGTTATTTATCTCGAAATTAGGATTTTCTATCGTTCATGTTTATCTTTCCATACAATCCTATTAATCTAAACATTGCATAAAATATAGTAGCAGGAGATAAAGGCGGAAATGTAAATCTAAGCTATTACAGAGCTTTGGGGCAGTTACATAATAGTGAAGAGTGCGGAAAAGAAATCTTAAAACTATTACATCCCGGAAGCAATTACATGATAATGATTAATAAAAAAAATGGGAAAAATAAAGCTACGCTATTACAATTGAACGCGCCCTATACACTTTATCTAGGAAAATAAAAATAAAATGAAAATAGCAAAGGAAATGTTTTGGTGATTTTTTATGAAAAAAATTATTTATGATAATTAATTAAATAAACCTAAAAAAAACCTAATTAATTTTAATTAATAAAAAAATGTTAATTTTGAAAAAAGTTAATTGAAATATCTAAATGCTAATTAGTTTTAATTAAAAAAAAGGTTAATTTTGAAAAAAAGTTAAAAAATATAAAATTAATTAACCTAAAAATTAAATTAGATTTAAAAAAAAAGGTTTGTGAAAAAAGTTTTGTGGTTAAGTGAATTTAAGATTGCAAAAGACAAATTGGTTAGAAACCAAAAACAAACAATGAAATTAAAAATTTAAAATTAAATTAAAACCTAAAATTAAATTAAAAAAACCTAAAATTAAATTTAAAAAATCTAAAATTAGTTATTCGAGTTTAGGAGGAAAAATCAAAGGTTTGTGAAAAATATTAGGTTTAATGAAAAAGGTTTTAAACAGAAAAAAGGAAAATAGGTAAAATAGATAAAAGGAATGGAAGAAAAACAAAACCAATAGGGGTGGGTGTTGAACCCACGCCCTTAACCTTCTCAGGATATCTGCCTCGTCATGCATTGGTGGTTGTTCTGTTTTGGCCTCAGTATTTTGTAATAACCTTGCATGAGACCCTGTCTAAATCTGCAGTGTTGAATCTCATGAACACATTAAATAAATTACTATATCATGAAATACAAATAAAGCAAATATATGAAATTTTGTAATGTTAAAACCGATATGGCATGTATGAATGCTCCTACACCCTTTTGATCATGGAGATCAAATCAGCCTTACCCTTACTGGAGAAGTAGTGATATGTGGGTTTGTAACAAGGATGGCTTGTTTGTAGTGAGATGGGGGTTTGTAACAACGATTTTAAGGTTTTTAGGATTTTTGAAGGAATTTGATATTTTGACAGGGTTTTGGCAAAGATTTTTTTTCTCGTGTTGTCGTGTGTGAAAAGAATGAGATTATATAATGGAAATTAGAGAAAAAAATGGGCTTTGAATGTGCAATTGGGTCTCCAATAACCACAAGCAATAGTGCATATTTTTATTCACTTGAGTCCGTCATATTCCAGGCTAAATCGCAGGGCTTAAGTGCAATTTTTGAAGTTGAAATATGAAAACAAAATGTAGCCGACATCGAGAACTAACTCCTGTCCGAAAATGAGCTCAATAGAATAAACAATGAATTAGTTGTGAATTTTTGAAGTTTCGCCTCAGACAAACTTATTTTGGGCTCCAGTGTCAACTCTGACACGTTCTTCAATAAAATACTGGTATTGATCGAAGCATAACCCGGTCTCGACATTGGAAGAAAAGTTATAAATCTCTGAGTCAGTGACCTTGTGTAAAAATATGGGCCCGATCCGATAAAAATTGACCGAGTTATAAATTTTCGAAGTTTCGACCCAGATGAAATAATATTCAGCATTCAGGATTTTCGGCGCGTCACGCACACTCTGAGCAAAAAACGAAGGCCTTTTAGATACCTTTCAAACTCGATACCTCATGTGAAAACTTAGCCAACTCAATGTGTGAAATTTTGACGCGGAAACCAGTTCGATACGATGAAAATCGACCAAGTTATGATTTTCTGAATATGACGCAAATAAACTTTTGTCACAAATTTTCTGTACGAAAATACTTGATAATTCCGCATTTTTGAAGACCTTTTGATCGAAATTGGATTCCCTCCGTGAGAGATGAAAACGTAGATGACGTCAAGACGGAATTTTGGCCACCGGAACGGGTTCAAAACAAGCCACGATCTTCAAGTTATGACTTTTTTAGTGCGTAAAAACTGCACTTTCAACACACTTTTTCACCATATTTCTTCGAGAAAACTCACACATTTGGAGACCTTCTTTAAAGAATTGACTCTTGAGCCGAACCTGAATTTGAGAATACGTTATCAGAGATATCTTGACAAAAGAACACCTGAATATGACGCGCCGGGTTGGACTTGTGAATCTTTGAATCCCGAATCATTGCAAAACGGCGAACCGATCTTCAGCACGGAAAATACTCTGAGAACATCCATTGGCGAAATAAACTCAC